GCAAACATACCAAACATCCAGCTTTCCCACCCAATGAGCTCAGAATGATACCGCCTGGCGTGATCGTTGTGCGATATTAGTTGTTCTTCATCTTTCCCCCAAAAACAACGTCGCAACATTTCACCGATGGCATGCTGATCGGCGAATTCTTCGTTAAACTAGCAAGGAGTGCCCAGTATAGCTTGAAGAAGGCAGCTGTTGGGTTGCGCTCGCCATGCACGTCGCCTATAGAATGCCCAGGCTGCAAGCCGATCTGGATGCAGCTGCTTGACACCTAATGTCGGCGCAGCATGGGCAGAGTCATTTGGGCCACACTCCATTCCCCAGCCTGGTCAATCCCTGTTCTGCCTGCACCTGCCTAATACGTGGGAAGGCACAGAAAGGCCGCAGAGGATGTATGGTGCAATCGCCCCATTTTGCCCCTTGCTGTACCACATATGGAAACCGCTACATCTGTGCGGCCCAGTAATATTTCTATCCCAACTGCCTTCGCCCAATGAGTACGCTACAGAGCCCCGCTTTTGGGGGACAACGACCACGGGCGCTGCCAACCAACTCAGCTGTGTGATTTTGGACACAAGGTGCGGCTAGACTGTCGACTATCTCTCTTTCTAGCCCCCTAGCTCTAGCATAAGGATTGAGCTGACCAATGCCTTTGCGACCCGATGGTACCATTGCTAAGCAGAGAGGCAAAATGGCCGAGAGAGCATTCGTATCCACCAGGTTTTTGGGTATAAAACCCCTTGAACTTGCCCTCCAGGAACGCAAAATTTTTCTAACAATCTAAAGAACCCCTCACCACCTTTTTGTTCCGCTCTCTTTGTAATATTCCTACTCAACTCATTACTAGCGAAAATGAGCAATTCCGAGTCAACGACCGCTCCCCCGAGCCGTCCAACCTCCGTCAACAAGAACTTTTCCAACGGGAAGGCTGACTACGCCATCTCCCAGACCGGATCCGAAGCCAACGGCGAGTACGACCACATCCACCGCACCAGCTCCTCCTTTGGCGCCTTCTTCAACATGGTCGGCATGGTCTTGGGCTCCGGTTCCCTGCAGCTTCCCTACGTCCTGGCACGCGGCGGCTGGGTTGGCCTAATCATCATGGGGGTCTGCGGTATCATCGCTGTGTTCAGCTCCATCATCACCATCCGCTGTCTGCACGCCGTGCCCGGCAAGCGCCTGCTCGGATTCGTCGACATTGGCCAGGCCAGCTTTGGCAAGCCAGGTCGCTACGTCGCCTATTTCTTCCATGCCCTGTACTGCTTCGGCAGCACCTGTCTGTACATCATCCTGGCCGGCACTACTATCCACACGCTGCTCTTGCCGACGGGCGTGAACCTGAGCGAGAAGTTCTGGATGTTTGTCTGCACCTTCATCATGTGGGTGCCGTACATTATCCTGAAGCAGATGGCTGAGACCGCAATCATCAGCATGTTTGGATTCCTCTCGAGCGTCGTTGTTGTCCTGATAGCCGTTGTTATCGCCTTCAGCAAGCCGTACCTGCAGAGTGATCACGCCCCCGCCGACAATATCCACGCTGTCATCCAGGGCACCGATATCAACCATGTGTTCTGGGACTGGGCTGGTGTGCCCACCGCCATGGCCACCTTCTCGTTCGCTTTCGCCGGCAATGCCATCTACCCGTACATTGAGGGCAGCATGCGCAACCCGCAGCACTGGCCGTATGTCTCCATGTGCGCCATGGCTATCATCACTGCCTTCTACATGCTCTGCGGTGCCGCTGGATACCATGCGTACGGACATCTTACAGTCTCGCCGATGCTCGATAACCTGCCGCGCGGTGCCCCTAGCGTGGCGGCTCAGATCATGATCGTCATTCACGTGATTATTGCCGTGCCCGTGCTTATGACCTCGTTCGCTATGGAGGTCGAAAAGTCCTTCAACATCACGCCCCAGTTCATGGGCAAGTGGAAGGAGCGCATCACCCGCACCACCATGCGCACTGTGCTTCTGGCCGCACTCATGGGCGTCTCTATGGCCATTCCGTACTTCTCCCAGGTTATGACGCTTGTTGGTGCCCTGTCCACGGGATGCGTGTTCTTGATCGAGCCCATTCTATTCTACTGGAAGCTCTACGGCATCCGCAACATCCCTTGGTATGAGCACATTGTCGGCGTCATCATGCTGTTCCTGGGTATCCTGGCCATGGTGCTGGGCACCAAGGACGGCGCTATTGCCTTGAGGGATGCCATCCACGGCAACTAACCTCACAGGAATCCCCTGCTAGACATGCACTTTCTCACATTAATCATGCATCTTCATGTAATTCTTTTCATTATCTTCCTTTTGAAAAATGCAGCCACCCAGTACCAGCTTATGCTAGTTAGCGATGACGTGACAGATGTGTCGGAGAATTGCATAGATCGTGCTTGAGCAGGGATACTGCATTTATTAAATAATAGATTGAAAAATACGAGAATAGTTGGGTACTTTGGCAAGCAGACAGGTAAAGCAACAGAGGGTCTCAGTGCTTGCTATCACGATTCTTCTTCTTTGATGACTTGGAATGCTTCTTAGACCGCTTCTTGGATGGCTTTCCTGAAGCAGCTGCCTTTGCCGCCACCTGCATAGCTTCGACATCAGCACTCGTGCCTTCACCATCGTCCTCATCGTCCTCGTCCATTTCCATGCCATCTTCCTCCTCGGCGTCATCAGTGTCGTCCTCGGCCTTTGCATGGCCCTGCGCGCTAGCAACAGCTGCTGCTGCCGCGGCTGCCATAGCACTGACATCAACATCAGAGTGGAACGCCGCGCTATGATCCTGCAGCTCCTCCTCTTCCTCGACTGGCGACTCGCCAAGCTTCTCTCTGAGTCTCCTATTCTCTGCCTTGAGCTGCTCGTTCTGGCTCGTCAGCTCCGAAATCGCCTGGTCTGCCAGCAGCTTCTCGATCGTCCACTTCTCAATGTTCTTTGCCTCAGTCGCCTTCAGACGGTGGATGTAGTCAACGGCCTGGGCCAGGATGCGACCCTTGTTCTTCTCTGCGCTCGGCACCAGCTCTGCCAACCGATCAATTCCCTGGTTGATCACCTCTCGCCGACGCCGCTCCACCTCCTTGTGGCTCTCCTTGCGCTGCTTGTGCCACTCATCCGATCCAGGAGGAGGTGCTTCACCGCCGCTGCCGCCGCCACCCGTCCGCTTGCGCTTACCCGACGTGTTTCGGTCTGATAGGAACGGGTTGATGGGTGTGCCATCCGTGCGGCTCTCGGTGGCCGGCGCTATTGGCACAGGCGCCGGGTGTGCGCTTGTCGACGCCGTCTGGCTCGTGTTGGTGATGCTGTTGTTGCGTGGTGCTATCGCTGGGTAGCCTGCTGGCGCGCTGCTGTTGTTCGAGGCGCGTCCTGGCAACACGTGTGCCTTGTCTTCGATTTCCAAAAGTACGCTGGCCTGGTCAGCGGCTGTTGTTGGCGACGCCATTGGCTGCAATGGTCAAAAGGTGGTGTGAATGGAGTTCAAAGCGAGCAGAAACAAGAAATTGTTCTCGTGAAATGTACCTTCCAGCACTTAAAGAGGTGAAAAATGGCAAAAATGTGGGCTCTGTCACGGGAGTGGAAGAGGAAGAAGCAAGCTCGCAGCAGTAGGCATGCACCGCCCTGCCCCTACGCGCCGCCCACCAATCACGTGGTCGGGATACAATCTCACTTGAAAATGGGCCTCAATAATCGACCTCTGCACCCCCAAACACGTGATTGGCTGGAATGCAGCATCGGCAGAACGAGGCCGTAAAGCACAGGTGACAACAGCCGGCTGGCGAGTGAAGCGGGGGCAAACAACAGTATGCACATGCATAACAGGGGTCTGCCTAGGGATAGCACCTCTGCCGTCAGACCATGCTACCGCGAAACAGCGAAGGGGGTGCTTCAAAACTACAAGCAGCAGCCTAATTTGATAGCCAGCACCTGCGTCGCTTTTTTTTTTTTTTTGGACTACTGTACCAATGCAGCTGGTGAACATACAGAACTACTCAGTACTACGTTTGTCTAGGACCACTCTGTTCGCCGTCTGTGTTGGCATCCGATGCATGTTTGAGCTGTCCAGGTGGCTGCCCATACTCAGACACCTATGGCCAAGATCCTAACCTTGAGTTGTTTGATACGGGGTAGCTAGCTACAAATGCCTGTGTCAGAATAAAAGGGCTGCATGTATGGATATCGAGCTTGGTGATGAGTAGTGCATATATACGACTCATCATTGCAGCTAGTAGAAACATGGCGCTCGATACCTGTCCCAGATTAAATTTGTCGCCACTGACAAGCAGAAGTTTTATGAATATCGACTCAACGCCGCATACAGCTAGTATTGGTTGCATCTGTACGGGTCTACCAAGTGAGAAGTTCCAGAATTGTGATGCTTTATTGGTGCCAAAGAAGAATTGAGTGAGACTCGTCCTGAGGCTTGGTGATTAGTGTAATGTCATTGGCTATCTAAAAATGGGCATTTCAAGACTCCGCTTCACACATATGACTCAGGCCGGTTGTGACAGTTGTGCATTGTGTACACAAGCTTCTCTCATTCACATCTCTCTGATTTTTAAGCCTTATTTACATTCTTTCACGGATAGACTTACTTTAAACCTAAACACGTTAGCTGCCGACAAGCTTGTTGCTGGCGTTCTGTCCTGTGTAATCGAGACAACCAAGAAATGTGAGCATTCCCCCGATACATTTTTAGTGGTGTATCGACTATCAGCTGTGTGTCGTCAGTGGAGAGACCACCTAAAACAACCACTATGCAGCAGGGCCATCTTGCACAACAAATGAACAAGCCGCTCCAACATGATAAACTCCCAACGCACACACGACAAGGGGTATACCAATATTGGATTCATCGTTTCCATGGGGCTGACGACAGAAACAAAACAACTCGATATACACGATATCCCACCTGAGGGCACATGCACATTCGCAGCGGCACTAGATGAATTCAAGTTAACTTCACGCTCTTGGGAGAATATCACCTCGCTTCATCTTCGTGGTCATACACCTGGTGATACTGGGCGTTTACCAACAGATATCTCCAACCAAATTCTGTCGCGTCTTGTGCCCTGTCTTCCATTGATTGTCGTGATACAATATTATCCATTTTCCCAGTTAGCTGCTGGTAGCCCGCTGGTCTTAACACAGCTTATTGCTTATTACTTATTACTTTTCACGACTACGCAGCCTTCATGCATACATACCACTGCCTGTTGAGACAATGGGACCAATTAGTAGCCACCTCACCATTCTTAAGCTGGACTTTATCACTGGGCTCATGTCGCCAAGAACGGTAAAGTTTCCTATCACCGCACTACAGAAGCTAACCATCGTTGGGCTTACCAAAGAGTTTCACTGGTCGTGGTATAGAGATGAAACCCCTGACACGGCTATATTCGCCAGCTTAATTTACCTAGTATTGGTATATCGTGCTCACTCTCCCCGAAGAGCCACATCTTTTGCCAGTCTTGGACTACACTTCTCCCGCCTGAGAGTGCTGAATGTATCGAAGGCCCTTTGCTATCACACTGATTTCTATTCGGTGTTCGACCACGCACCTTTACATACACTACAAGCGACTGAGTTTAGAAGACACATGGGTTATTTGAGCCCCAACCTTATCAGGAAAGCTGGCATGTTTATATCATGCCTATATATGGAGCCACTTAATGTCAGGATGACAGCAATGAACCTGTACACTGACATACTGGCCATGTCGTCCAACATCAGAACCGCAGCACTACATTTTATACCATTGACGCCTATATCTACTGTAAACTGGTTTGTCCTTCAAACTTTTTTTCTCAGGGACTGTGGGATTTCATATTCAAGCATTGAAAATATTCTAATGCAGCTTCCGAAGTTGCTGAGATTTACTATACTTCTCCTTCCTTTATCTCAGTCTTCTCGATATGGAATCACCACCATGGATATGGACACAAGTGATTATTCTGTATCATTGAGCACGTCACTTCAAACATTCTCACTCAAGTCGAGTCGAGGATATCTTATCCCAACATTTGTCTAATGCATTTGCTAGCTGATCGTACGGACGCCATCGCTGCTGGACCTCCGTATTACCACACCGGTTACCGAAGGAATCAGCCAGTTCATTGCATTCAAGAGAAGGGACATTAAAACCACAAGCACGCATGTAATACGAACCCATGGGTCATGATAAACTGATAGCCAATGGACGTGCTATGAGCACAACTGTTTTATGCTGGTTTTAATTTATTCAGTAAAAATGGACTAGTAGGAAATAGTAATAGGCGACTTCAGGGTCGATGAAGGTGATAGGTAGCGGTGGCTTTGTACGACTAGCTAGCAGTATCTTCATAAATGATGAACTCCATGCGATGTTTCGCGATGTCCTTGAAAACAGTTCCACACTGGAGCACTTTTGGCTTGGCATTCAAAGCGCCTGAGCCAATCTTGTAATCCGGGGTATATTCAACGGGCTGATCAGCTGGGATCCAGGAAACCCTTAGAACTGCAGCATGACTGTTGAACTTTCCATAGATTATATGGTCATGGCGGCCCGCCAAAGTGTAATTGCCGCGGCCAACGATGCTCACTATAAACGTGTCCTTGCCACATCTGTCAACGGCAGACATCTTGTATTCGTTTCCATGTGGCTCAAATCGATACCCCTTCGGCTTGTATGAGTACTCGCAGACATGGCCAAACTCGTTGGCTGGAAGTGAGAATACACGGCATAGGTTTACCATCAGTTCTTTGCAATCGCCAAAAAAGTCCACTACCTCAGAGCTTTGGAGGTCAACGTATTTTCCAACAAGTGAATGGAGGTTACCGTCACGATTGAACTTGACTATCCGTATCTTTACACCATGCAGGAGTAGAATGGGAACAGTTAGGCGAGTTGGCTGATGCTTCCAAATCTCGAGAGCAAGAATCCCCATTTCTTCTAGAGCATCATCAGGTATGGTGTCGGTGGGTGTCGTCTGTCTGCACACGACAGCTGAATGGGCAGAGTAAAAATCGTACATGGGTGCAGTACTGTAGCAAATAAGATAATCAGCATTCCTGTTAGTCCCTGGAATGCAGTGCGTTTGATAGCTGACAAGTTTGTATGGAAGCGCACTTTGTCTGCCATACAAAGAAATTCTGCATGTCCAGGTATAAACATCCCACAAGCCGGTAAAAAGGCTCAACAATTGCCCCCGAGACATAAGCTCATCGTCGGAGTCTTCATGTTCCGCCATAGCTAAACAAGCTGCCAAAACCAGGTCTGGACTGTAGAACTTCGAAAAAAATTAGCAAAGAGGACGGTCGGAAAGAGACGAGGCGGGCACAAGTGTCTTTGTAAATGCTCCAAACTAAACAGGATTTCGATGGAATAGAATCCGAGAGCTAGAGAAAAGGGAAAGAACAAAAATCTAGTGTGTAGAACCAGCGGGACAGAGCCGTCTCAGTATTTATAGGATTGGATTTGGCCATATCCCAGACTTTGGAACTGCGGCCTACCTCAGCAGTGTCCATTGGCTCAGTGGCGCTGGGGCAACTGCCGTACATGGCTATGCTAAGCTCGGCGATGTGCCGATGGGACAGTGGCTCGGGGGTATCTGCGTGCACCGGTAGGGAATGGTAGCATGTGCACGCCACTGCCTCTTGGGTGGTGATGTGCCAAGAGGTGTGGAGGGCTTGGAGCTGATGCCGCTGTTTCAGTACCGCCCGATCGATTGCGTCACTCTGACAAAACAGGTCTACTCAGGGTTTAACCAGAAAGCACGTTGCCCTCGAGTTCGATTGGCCTATTGCACAAGGAATGCTGCCGCGCCAGCACTGCACCCTTGAGAAACAGCATACAGTACCAAATACGTATGTATGTGAGCCCTGGCCGTTGAACAGCACAGGCTAACCAGGGATCTCTGCGGCGATTCGCTGTAGCAAAGGTCTCAGAAAATATACTTTTTATTATTGTTTTTGTCTGGTATCTGCGTTCCTTACCAAAGCAGTGCAGAAGCTTCGGCTTTGCCTTGTGCCATATCACGTTCGCACAACTTGCATTCCCTTCGCGGCAGGTCCGGGGCTGTCAAGAGACTTACTGAGAAGACCGGAATCTTAAGCGCTGCTCGTAAAACTTTAGCATCTGCATGGGCAGCTTCGCGTAAATAAGCTCTATTGGATACTCGCACTTTTGGCCGTTCTTCCACTGGATCTGGGCAATAAGGCCGTCGTCGGTAGCATCAAGCGTAATGATCTCGTCCAGGAGCGGCACCCAGTCATCGGCTTCAGGGCCTTCCTCGCCATACACGATCTCCTGGTCAGATGCTTCGTTGCTCTCGGCTTCTGCTGCTTCTGGCCCAGCCTCCTGCTGGGGTTTCTGCCGGGGGTTCTGCTTGGCTGTTGCCTCCTGTCTTGCCGATGTGCGCCGGCGCTTGGTAGCCGCTTCTTTGGCCTTGAGCGACGACGCACCGTTAGACGCCGGGCGGCCACGCTTTTTTGCAGGCGCCGCCTTCTTTGCAGCCTTCGCATTATAGTCATCCCAGTACTTCTTTAGTATATCCTTATCGATGATGTTGTCCTCCGTCTCCCATGTGTTGTCCGCAGGATCATCGTACCCCTCCCATTTGATCATGAAGAGTGTCTCGCCATCCTATCGTGCCGATAAACAAAGCTAGTAAGCAGAGGCTGGCTCAGCACTAGTAGCCATCATGGGAATATTTGTAACTTACCTCACCCTTTGTATGCTCAACGATTTTCTCGACGACATAGACGTCATCGTCTTCCTCAGTGCTCGATTCATCGCTCTTGTCGGCAGCATCCTTCTTAACAACCCCTTCCTCGACAACTTTGTCTTCCTCAGCGACCTTGTCTTCCTCAGCGACCTTGTCTTCCTCAACAACCTTGTCGTCCTCGACTGGATCCCAGTTTTCTTCTGCTGTCCGTTTGACCATTCTGATCACTGACACAAAAAATGAAAGATTCTGGGCGCGGAAATTAAAAGCCAGGAATTTGACGCGTAAAAAAAGCGATCCAGCGAAAGGTAGTGTGTGGCAAAGTCACGCGTCATCAGGTAAACCCCTGATGCCTGCCATGATCGATTAACAGATCAGCCAATGGGTGGCTTGGGGACGAGGGGATATGCTGGGCAGCGGGTCATGCATGTCTCATCTCCTGCGGCCCGCAGCTGCACCAATGCAAGCGCAGCTCATCGAGGGACAATGAGACACCTTATCTTGCGTCTCCTATTTCTGTACATGTACCCCCGAGTCAGAAAAAATCCAGCAATTGCTGCATATGCAAGCTGTTCTCGGTTCAGGCATTGGGCGGCGGGGGGCGAGTGGTGGTGGGCAAATTTCCGCCCCTGGCAAGTCTTGACATTCGAGCAGCCAGCTCGGGCATGCAGTCGCTTTTAATTTAAGCTGGCCAAGTGATGTGCCTCCATGCACGTGTCCAACATGACGTCTGCATATCTTGCAGACCCCCTTCTCCCTTCCCACTCTGTCCGCGTTTCTACTGGACGACGACACCTATTGCTACCCACAGTGACCCTATGCCGGAAACAGCCGGTCGGCCCGCATCCCCGTCAACCGCTGGTGCACATCCCTCAGTTGATTTCCGGACTCGCCTACCATGCAGCTGAGAGGAAATTGCCTCCAACACGTTGACGCCCTCATCCCAGACGAAACTTGGGTATAAAAGAGCATTCTGACAGGGGCTTCCACCCAGACATCTCATCTTCTCCTTCCACTATCTCCTGGAATTTAACCCTCACACCTTACTCTCTGTAGCGCGAACGCACCGTCTCACCCAACAACAATGGCCTTCAACAACTGCGACTGCTCCTGCGACGGATGCAATGCTGGTGAACACTGCCACTAAGTGTGTCCCCTCTATGGTTATCTAGGCTGGCAAGCAAGCTCCCACTTCGTCTGACAACAGTCCCGACTCCTTTTGAATAGGTGCCTCCCCACCCCCTGTCCATTTGCCCTTCGCTCCTCGTTTCGCAGGATAATGGCGCACTAAAACCCAGTCCAGGTTATTGAGAGGAACTGGGATTCGAAGACCTACCGAGATGCCTGTGCCTCCCTCATCCATCCTATATTTCCTTCTCTCTTTTCGGTTCACATAACAATATAACAGCTCGACGCCCGTTTTCGTACTCGGGATGACCTCTTACAGCCCCTCTCCTCTGGTATATGCACAAGCGAGAACGAATTACATAGCATAGGCCGCAGCAGCGGCTATTTTCTTGACTGGCGACTGCAAAACGCTTGAAGCGTTTGGCAACAAGGGGGTGCTATTAGGGCCGAATGGGTCATTGCTTTCCTTGGGTTTTGTGGTTGCGTGCTTTCACCTGTTCGAGACAATGGAAACCTAATTAATTTGTGTGTCTCGCTGCTATTTTTCTTCAGCACTATGTGGTGGCGTGGGCATATGCCCGCCAAGCAATCCCTCAAAGCCTGCTACTTTGTCCTATCGATTGAAGCCCAATATCTCTAATTATGACACTCCTGGACGTCCGGCAATAATGCATTTGCCCATTAGAAGTGCTGTGCCTCATCCCCATGGATCCACTGCTGGATTGAGATAGCAACAAGCAAGAGCCCGGGGAATAGGCTAGAGCAAGGAAAATGAAAGGGGTTGCCAGTGGATAAGAGAATGTGTGCTAGCTAGAGCCGCATTCCGCTGTGAGAGAACCGAGGTGGATGTCAGGGCGAACTCTATACTGTAAGTGACACTCAGACACCACGAAAGTCTGAGCGACGATCCTAGAATGAGTACCCTCAAGTACCTGCCAAAAGCAGAAAGTGCTTTACACCAGCGCTAGAACCTGTTGCAAACCAGCTCGGGGTCTGTTGCAGTCCTGAGAACCCCTCCTCGCCAGAGCCTGGAAGGGCCGAGCAAGTTGGCTAGTAGACCCGGGTCCAGTACCCGTGGGTGAAGATGGGGCTGCATATAGGCGATGCAGAACTAGCACCGATTTGCTACTTGCCGTCACAAATGGCAATTCCACGCAGCTCACAGCACAAGGGCGATAGCCTTGCGAGGATTCTATAAGGTTAGTAAGCTCAAAATACATCTATCTATTAGCTGCTAGATGGCTGGTTTGTTTCGCTATCCGTCTGCCAGATTTGGCCTAGGAGACAACAAGGACTCGTGTGCCCTTCCAGGAAACATTGGCTGCAAATGGCTTGTGATTTCCGGGGTAAGCAGCATTTATCTA